GTATACCTCAGAAAGATCTGCCAACCCAAACTCAGAATTAGATCCATCATGAAACCACTCCTTAAATGCCAATTGTGTACAATAAGTCATTTAACAAGGACATTCCCAAGGGGACCAATAACATGATGTTAATATTTTTGTGAGATAAATTTGGAGACATTTTGTAAGCCAAGAAAAGTGTTAACTTACCTGCATATTGATTAAATATGAAGTCAACTGTGGCAACTTGTGGAGAGAAGCTTCTGCTAAAACAAAATGCTCTTTGGGGACAAAGTCTGTTTCTATATTGCCATTAAGACTACATTAAGGTATATTTTTGGCTCAATCTACATTTCTTCAATGAGCAACCAAATGAGAAATGCATATAAAACAATAGAGAGAGCTCTTGCTTGTTAGGTTTTGTACTGAGTTACCTGTGTCAACACACCAAATCTTCATGGTAACTTTTGTGCCACCACAAAGCTCAGTGAATTAACATTGTAAGCTAACTTATAAGCTTTGAAAGTAAAATCAAGAAATGTGCCAAAGGTTGTCCATTAAAAAAGGCAGAGTTGAAATCTGTATCTTTCAGGCCCGGCACAACAGCCTAGTGGCTCAAATCCTTCCATGCATGCTCTGGGATCCCTCGTGGGTGCTGGGAACTTGCACCTGCATGGGAGACCTGGAAGAAGCTCCTGACTCCTGGATTCGGATAGGCTCAGCTCTGGAGGTTGAGGCCACCTGAAGAGTGATTCAGCGGAAGGAAGATCTTCTGCTCTGTCTCTCCTCCTCTCTGTAAATCATTGGATTTTCCAATAAAAATAACTAAATCTTAAAAAAAAATTTTTTTGAACCACTCTCATCTGGCTCATAGTTTGTATATTGCATACAATGTTACACTAAAAACCTGAATGCCTCAAGTTTGTAAAAACCTAGGAAGAGTAACAACTAACTATTTTAAAATTCTGATCTGTGAATCATATTAAACCAGTCTCCATCATATTCCTCTTTTTTTTTCTTAAATAAGTGTTTAAATACAAATCCATCAAATTTATTACTCAAAAATTCAGAAACCAGACCCTCAAACCTGGTCTAGATGGGTAGTCAGGAGCTCAATTACTTAAGCAACTTAAGTTGCTACTTTGGGCTTCTATCAGGAAGCTGGAAGTGAAAAGAGAGCCTGAACTTGAATTCCTGGCACTCCAGTGTGACTTGCAGACATCCCATCCAGCAACTTAACTGGTAGGCGGGAGGCTGCCCCAATATTTTTGTTTAAATTCTTTGCACCTCTGCTTTCTTCTTCCCTTTCCTTTTTCATTTTCTTTTTCTAAATTTAAGCTCTTCTATTTTCTTTATCCTCTTATTTATAAATAATTAATTTTTAAAAACCCAATTTAATAGCTTGTGATAAAGAAAACCAAAAATTTCCCTGTAGGGCCCAGTGCGATAGTGTAGTGGTTAAAGTTCTTGCCTTGCATGTGCCGGCATCCCATATGGTTGCTGGTTCTAATACTGGCGGCCCTGCTTCCCATCCAGCTCCCTGCTTGTGGCCTGGGAAAGCAGTCAAGGATGGCCCAGAGCCTTGGAACATGCACGTATGTGGGAGACCCAGAAGAGCTCCTGGCTCCTGGCTTTGGATTGGCTCAGCTCCAGCTGCTGCGGTCACTTGGAGAGTGAACCATGGGACAGAACATCTTCCTCTCTGTCTCTTCTCCTCTCTGTATATCTCCCTTTCCAATAAAAATAAATGAATCTTTTATTTAAAAAAAAGTAAAGAAATAAAGCCTTCATGTAGTCCAACAACATCTCCGGTCACTTGCTGATTGCTTAATTTATTCCTTCTGATTTTACCTGGGATGAATAGCATTATAATATACACAGGCAACTAAAACCATTGTAAAATAGTCACAGCAGACTTGACTCTCTGCTTTAACAGACAATCCCTCACATTTTTTTGTTGCAGAAGGATGATGCTTTATAATTCAGTATATGTTCTCCTACTATATAATCTGCCTAGTAATATATCTTCTTTGTAAAAATGCCATTAGTCTGACACATAAATGTTAAAATAAGGTACTAATAAGCCCAAAAGTAAGGAGGGAGGGAACCAGCAAAATACTAGCAAAGACAATATTTTCATTTCTAAAAGTTTAGGCTTATAATAACTGGGGAAATGTCAGGAGCCATGTACTATAGCCACACTGAAGCCATTTTGAATATAGAACTATGGGCCAATGGAAAACCCATGGCTGGCTAGATGCTTGGGAAGAGCTTATGAAACTAATCACATGCTTAGCTTCAATTGTTTCTAGCAACTGTTTCAGAATGTGATTTATGCTGTACCTGCCGACATCCTGTTGCTGGTTACCTACACTATTGTTGGTATGTTGGTTACTGTTGTTGATATGGTGGCTGCTCAAGAACAATCTGTCTTGAGACCATGGCTTGTGTCCCAGTTTCTCCTTTCCTCCCTGAGCCTTAGTTACTGAAGAATATAAAACCCTCAATTGAAATCAATAAACTGACAGCTTGATCAGACATATTGTCTTGCTGTCCATTCTTCGTGTCTGTTGTCCCTTCATTCTCTCCTAGGTTGGTTGCGACCCTCGTTGACTGTCCTGCTGGACGGGACAGTTGGTGCCCAACATGGATTGCAGGCATGGACAAATGCAGAGTCAGCATCCTATTATCAAGATATGGCTAACAGTTTCATTGGGAGTCCATGTTTGATCTGAAAGTAGAGATGCAGACTGCATTGTATCTTCGTATCTGGATATGCTAGTCTCCATTACACAGTTACTGTACATGCCCTTAAATGAAAAGCCACAAAGCAAAATCAACAGCAGGAAAAATAAGAAGAAATTAAAAAATGTCATGAAGTTAAATATGCTATTAAATGGCTGTGTCACTGAAGAAATGAAAAAGAAAATCAAAGTTGGTATTGTTATATGCACTGAGCTCAGTGAGTTTGCTCCCAATTTAGCACCTTCACAGCTCACTTCCGTCCCTGCAGTCTTAAAGTTTTTCCACATTACACAAAATGGCACCTGATGTGCCACTACTAGAGTTCTTGATCTGCTGGCTATCAGGTCTGAGGGCTACTCAGACCTATCTTGGGTGGAACCTGTAGGATGCCACATTTGCAGTTCACTGAGCCAGAAATGAGTTCACTCCCAGCTCAGTGCATGCACATTCCTGTCCCATAGCCTTTGTTTTCTTATACAAAATGGTGCCGATTTGGTTCTAGGGGGCGGACTGGGCTGTGAAATCTATCCTGTTACTGTACTGCCCACCTGGGACCTGCCGTTCTGTCGCTGCTCCTGGTCAAACTAAACAGACCAACAGGACAGGCAGTTCTTTTTCCTGAGCTCCGGGTAAAAGTCCCATCCCACTTTGTTGCAGGTAGTTCTGGCTACCACTGCTGGCTGAATGCCACTGGGTTATTGGTCACTGCAACACTCACCATTTTGTCTGCTGCTTTCCTGTTTCTTTCAGTCTGCAGGTGCCCCACTGCTGTCTTTCTGCCCTCTCCTATCTCCTGGAATGTGCCCTCTCTGCTTCACACTGGCTAATGTTTCTCCATCTGTTTAAATGTGTCCTTATTCTATTCCGCCATCTTGATTTATGCCTCAATGCATCTGTCATCCCTTTAATTTCTTAGAGATGTAAACCTTACAATTTATTTTTCATGTTACATGGCAATGTAGTAAATTGTAAAAAAAAAAATCCATTAAAAACTAACTGGGGCAATTGAAGCACAGGATGATTAATACCGCTCCTGGATTTGAGTTATGGATTTACGAATGACACAGCATGTTTCTTTATTGTATTATTCAATTTCCACTAAAAAACTGCATGAATTCTGAATTTCAAAAATAAAATGTAGTTACAAGTATGCTGGTGGAATTTGTTATTGTTATTATTTTATTATGGTGAACGAGTAAGTCTGAGTATACCTACATCATTCAACTTTTGGAACAAAATATAATTCACATACTTGGAGGCAGCTAACCTCTTTGAAATGAACTGGAATCCACTCAGTAGACTAGAAACATATCCTAAACTTGATGAATCTTTAGGCATTCAGTGAAAATTCAATGTGATGTAGGCTGAGTCCCACTTGGACCTATCCATGCATAAAAGTCTGATCTTTCTAATGTATAAATGTCATTACACATTCAACTGCTTGAAATTCTTCAAAATCTCCTTCAATATAAGAATGGAAATCTTTCTGAATTGCAATCCAACTCATTCAATGTGCCTAGAGTCCCAGTTTCAATTCCCTCCAGTTTACATTTCAAACTTCTTGCTACAGTAAGACTGACTGAATTTTAGAACCTACAGCTCAGTGAGTTAGTTCTCTCCATTCCACTTTTCTCTGAATATGTTGCTTCCTCCACCCAAATGAGCAATTCCTTAGAGCAAAACCATTACATCATTCTTCCCTTCCCTAAGATTAAAACGCAGGCATTTTGTGTGTGTGTCACTGCAGTTTGCACATACAACTCTAATATTCTTAGGACAGGCTTACATTGTTGGAACATCTTCCTGCCCATCCCACAAACAAGAAACACCTTGGTAAAGAGACATTTAATTTTGTATTTTCAATATTTACCACAGTATTTACAGGGTAGAAAAGATATGCAAATATATTTGTGAATGAACAATGTGTATTAATAGCAAATATTTTCAATCTATATCAAAGGTACTATAAAGTTAATGACTGATTCTTAGCACTTAGCACATGTTTGACACAGTGACCGTGCTCTGTTTTCAAGTCGCATGTCAACCTTACCAGGTGAATTTCATCGTTTGTATTGCTATTTTGCCCTTGAGAAAAACTGATGCTCAAATAACTTAGTCAAATAGGATGCACACTGTCATGGAATAGAATCAGGCAAGAACCAAAGTCTGGCTCCAATGCCAATGCTTTCACTACTACCTGTTGTGATTGTCAAGTTTCTGAAAGGCACACATTAGATTTTGATTTAATCTCCTCCTTTTTTTTTTTTCTTTTCCAGCTCCAAGTACAGCCCAGTATGGAATTACCGGAAGCGCTGATGTTATTCTCTCCTGCTGGTACCTTGTGTTGACACTGTCTTCTTTCACCAGCATATTCTACCTGAAGAATGCCATTCTACAATAAATTTAAAGACCCATAAAAGGCTTTTAAGGATTCTCTGAAAGTGCTGATGGCTGGATCCAATCTGGTACAGTTTGTTAAAAGCAGCGTGGGATATAATCAGCAGTGCTTACATGGGGATGATCGCCTTCTGTGGAGTTGCTCATTATGTAAATACTTTAATTCTACTCTTTTTTGATTAGCTACATTACCTTGTGAAGCAGTACACATTGTCCTTTTTTTTTTAAGACGTGAAAGCTCTGAAATTACTTTTAGAGGATATTAATTGTGATTTCATGTTTGTAATCTATGACTTTTCAAAAGCATTCAGTCATGGTCTGCTAGGTTGCAGGCTGTAGTTTACAAAACCGAATATTGCAGTGAATATGTGATTCCTTAAAGCTGCAATACAAGCATTCAGTTCCCTGTTTCAGTAAGAATCACTCCACATTTACAAAGATGCACTTTTTTCCTTTTTGATAAAAAAGCAAATAATAATGCCTTCAAATCATTTCTTCAAAATATAACACATATCTAGATTTTTCTGCTCGCATGATATTCAGGTTTCAGGAATGAGCCTTGTACTATAACTGGCTGTGCAGCTCTGCTTCTATTTCCTATAAGTTCAGCATGGGTGTGCCTTCATGAAGTAATATTTTCTCTGTTTTGCTAAACATTACAATTTGAAAGCAAAAATAAACTGCAGTGACAAAGTTAAATGACACTTCTGAAGAAGGAAGGCACTTGGGACCTTAAAATCTCTTCCTTCATTATCAGTGATGTTTAAGATTTTCCTCCAGTTTTTGTAATGAAAAAAACAGCATAATAACATGGTACACTAAACATACCAAATGATTAGTTGCAGATAAATATTAAATCTATTGTGGGGAATAATTCATTATAAAATGACAGCACAGTCCACTCAAGGAATTGCATAGCAATACAGCATCTTTCTTTTCACTACTCTGAACCAAAATTTAAGCTGGTTTGTCAAAAAATACCCAAAATTCTGTTGCCTATTATAAGTAAGTTGAAAAGCACTCAAAATTTATGTGATTCTGTGTCAATGTTACAGAGATAGTGCTCCTGTGCACTTGAGCATTTTGCATATTTTCTCTCTGAAAACATTATTCAGTTGATAGTCTGGAATCCAGGTTATATTTGTAAAATACCACCTATAAAAGTATTCTATATTGAAATGCAGCAGATCAATCCTTAAAATATCCAACTCCTCAACAAAATCCTTATAGCTATTTTAGCTTAGAAATGTGAAATTTTCCCCAAATCACCATGCTTTACTTTATCTTAACATGAGATAAATAAATTGTGACAAAATGAGTACAAGATGTTGGTGATGAGAACATTTCAAGATAAAATAAGTATTAAAATGCCATGAGTATTAAGTTATCTCAATTATAAAGAATGAAAATTACACTTTTGAATAAAAATATTGTCACTCTAGTTATTAGCTTACTGGCATAGTTTGATGGCTTTATCCATTCCTAAAGAGAGACCAGAGTCTTGAACTCCATTTCACAGGCTTGATGAAGGGATAAGGATAGGTACACTTAAACTTCTATCAGTGCTCCCTTTCTGAAAGTCATAACAAAGCAATGATATTACTAATAAAATACAAGATGATAAATTTTACAAAGATTGGATATATTCATTTTGCCCCAGAAGGCATGATTTGAAAACTGCAACTTTTTTCAGGTAAAATTTAGACCCAAAGTATACCATAAATCTATTTTAATTAGAAAATATGAATCTTAAATGAAGGGATATAAATATTCAGTCTTCCCACAAAATGGCAATAAGATTAATATGATGCAATTAAATTTACTGTGTGTAATGAGTTTATGACATTTTGAATGACATGTTAAATGGGTTTTTAAAACAAATATGTCATCTAAAATTATTATTTATTTGCTTTTTAAAATGTCCTCTATGAACTTGGTGTATAAACTACAAAATATTTTATGTTTTGTATTGCAGCTTTAAAGTGGCACACTCCATAATAATCTACTTACTAGAAATAGTGGTGCTACCACAAAAGTGTTAACCATCTGTACCATTGTTTGGGAGAAGGAAACAGATCAAGAATGCATATTATACAGTGACCTTTTTCCTAGAGTTAAAAATACCTCCTCTTTGTAAGGTTTGTAGGGTAAATGTGAGGTAAACTGAGGTATAAACTATGGATGAACCAAATAATTAGTTCAAAGTGTTGTCATGATTCCGAATTTGTGGAGTCTGGTGTTTTTCCCATAGAATGTGACCGAAGTACAGTCATAGCTCAGTAGCTATATGTATTTGCCTTTATGTTAGAAGAGATTTTCTCAAGTGACATTTTTAATAGAGGAGGTATTCACTATGTTTTCCTGTATCACAGCAGCATTCCTAGTCCTTAGGCCCCTGGACAGTGACATCATGAGTATTTATGAGTTCAATATTGTTCAAATAAGGCTACAGTATTTGCTTTTTTGTGTGAATGTATTGCATATAATGTTCAAGTAGGTGATTTTGCATTTATGGACATAAGAAGTGTCTAATTATTCCATTTTATCAGTCCTGACTGTACAAGATTGTTGCAATTTCAGAATACCAGTTTTATAAACTTGATTTATCTCTTTATGTCTAAATTTTTTTTTTTTTACTATTCATTTCCAAATTGTACTTTCCACAAGTTCCATTTGTGGAACTCCTTTGATTGCCCCTAATTTTCTTTACAGAGAGGAAGACAGAAAAACAAAGAACAGTAGAAAAAGAGCAGAAAAAGAAAAGAAAAAGAAATGCAAAGAGAGAAAGAAAAAAGGAAGGAAGATAGAAAGAAAAGAAAGGAGAAAGAAGCAAGAAAAAAAGAAAGATGGTAAAAAATAAGAGGAAGTGAAAAATCAGAATATTGGGGTAGTTAACTTATTCATTTGCATTCTTAATTAATTGCAAATGGCCTAATTCTGATTTACAATGAACAATCTCATTTGAAACATAAGTCCTGTTATACCATTAAATTCATATTATGCAGCAATTATATAAAAAAGTACTGCCCCATAATCATTTTGTGTTTCCAATGCCCTAGAACATTTGAGAGAGAGAATTTCAAACTTAAAACCATTTTTCAGGGGTTAGTTAAGTTTAACTGAAAAATTAATTATTCATCATAACATTTAAACTATATCTAGAAAGTAGACTGGAGAACTGAGGAAATTATCCAGGTAATTTCTGAAAATATATTTATAAGTACCCCTATGCGTGAAGTCAGAAAACTAACAAGCTGAATTATCAAAGCCAAACATTTATATTGAATAAATTTATTGCATATTTGTTAATTTATCCATTGTGTTTTAGCTTTGTGACACAGCCAAAAGTTACCTATTTAATCTTTTCAATAAAAATTGTTTTTTGAAATCCAGAAATGATTTAAAACAAGGTCAGGTTTTTAACTATTTATTGAAGTATGTGGATGTACAGTATTTCAATAGATATGAATATGAATAAATGGTATGCCTTAAGATCCTTTGAATATGTATTTACTTTAAAGACTGGGAAAGCTCTTCCTGTCTTTTAGTAAAACATCCATATTTCATAATCTGATGTAAAATATGTTGTACTGTTTCCAATAGGTGAATATAAAGTCAGTTTATCAATTAAAGTATGTATTTGACTCATTTTGAAATTCAGTTAAAGAAAAAAAGTAATAATAGCTTAAGCATTTTTTTCATCATTTCCTTTTTCATTTTCTGCCACATTCACTTTACCATACTCCAAAGCAATAGAAGGTGGAAAATTTTGGTAGTATATTTTCTAATGGCTCCTTGCAGTAATGTTATACTGTAATGCTGATTTCTTAAAGGTTCGATGAGCTAAACAACATGTAACACACACAAAAAAAGAAATTTGGGGAGGACGTTTTATTATCAAGTGTTTACAACCTTTACCTGATAAAATGTAGGAGAATTCATAACAGAAATAAAATCCCAATGAACTTAACAGGTTAAGTAATTGGAAACCCAAATGCCTAGAGGAGACAGGCAGAGTCCAGTTTCTAAGACGGCTGAGTATCAAACAACTGAAACTGCATGATCTAGCTCAAGGCATTCAGATACAACTGTTTAAAGCACCTTGTGTTCTTCCCAAACACACCAAGTGATTTTACTAAGAATCTATAGTTTGTGAATACTGTGATAAGCAAATGGAAGATCATCTCCAAAGAATGACATAAACTCTCTTTTCCAAACTTGTTTATGACTCTTTACAGTGGTCATAGACAAGTAAACAGGAGTAATGTGGTATATCTAAAAAAACAACAAATTATTTTTTAAAAAAATCCATGCTCTGATTTAATTTACTTTGAAATCTGATGAAACATCAAAAAAATCCATGGAAGATGGAGCTAAATGGTATTTGTTTTGGTGTAGATGATTTTTGAAGCCATACATATTCTGTTTCATAACACACACTTTGGCCTTTATGAAGAACTTTTTATATAATAAATGTAAGATCTGGAAAGATGGCACACAAAAAAGAGCTAACTTCTCTCTGAACATAGTAAGTAAAAATGTAACTAGTTCAAATTCATGTCTAGATAGAAAATACTTGGTTACTTTAGCTCATCAGGCAATAATATAATACATTTTAAGAAGAAATTTTCAAGAATGCTTCATTTGAGACCGAGAAGTTTAATTTACCCACAAGTGAGTGTATTACTAAACTTCACAAGAAGCATAATGGTATCTCTTTCACGTGTGTGTTTTGTAATAATTCTAAACTTGGTGAAAGTAGAACAATCTTTGCACAAAATCAAATAATTTCCAGGCTTCCTGTAGAGAATAACAAGTGAGACCTTTCTCATTCTTCTTCCTGAAATCTTCATCCGTGGGCAACACAAGAGCAATACAGATGCTCCCCGTACCTTGTGATGAAGAAATGTGCTCAGCCTCAGTCAGAGGTTGTAGCCGGTTACTCTTGAGGGGTCACAAACACCACCACCTGACATTTTTAAATAACAAAGCACTCTGGCGGACATCAATACTTTGACATTACAACATTTTAAAGTAACTTAGAATAGAAAATGTGATCGTCACATAGTGATGCTGAAAATGAGATTCAGGAATTTTAAGTCAGTTATTCAAAATTATCCTGCTGCTCAGTAGTGGATCTGAACCAAATATGTATTAAAAAAATTTCAATTTCTTCCTAATCCTATTTAACCTTCACAGAAACAGGAAAAGAATACAATCAGATAACTTCACAAATGACTATATGTATATGTGCATGTATAACTTTATTTAAACACACACTATATATATATATATACACACATATGATGAGTAAGCATGTACAAACACACACACACACACACACACACACACACACATATGCTATCTCCATTCTCCAATGCATACAGAAGGTATGTGGTTTAACACTAAATTTATAGTTAATTGAAAACTTCAGGGGTATGGAACTTATGCTGCAACTACTTTCATATTGTCCTTGGTTGGCTTGGAGTCATCACACCAAATGGAGGATCTTATCATAATCATAGGATGTGCTTTTCAAAAGACTTGCTAATTTTGAAATTATCTACTTAAACAGTCATTCAGGCTTCCATAAGTGAAGATCAGAATATACACAGTAAAAAATAATAATAATAACTTCAAATAGAATACTGATTCGAATCTCAAGTTATGTTCCTTGAGTTATTGTATATGCAAACATTAATTGTGTGTGCTGGGGCCCTTGAACAAGAGGGAGATCCTACTTTTAAAAATTAATCTATATTCATCCTAAGAAACAGAGTGACATTTGTTGTCAAAATATAGATAAAACAAATCCTAATCACATTAGCTTGAAAAACATGATCTTCATACACTTACAAAAATAAAAACATTAATATATTAATGAAACATTTGATAAGATGTTACAACCAGAAAACACAATAATCCAATGAAAACACATATTACTGACTTAAAATGTTAAATTTAATGTTTGTGCAGAGAAAATTAGATTTAGGAAAACTTCATTGAATCTTTATCCAATGGAGTTTATTTTTCTAGAGTTTTCTAGTTTATATATCTAGAGACAAGAAATACTTTTGCTTCATATCACTTACCTACCACCTACTGCTGTGAAAGTTACAGAAGGAAGTCCCATATACTGGAAGGTAAACTGAAGTGTTTTGTTTAAAATACCGTTTGGTTTTCTACTATAGCATAAATAATTATTGCTAAAATGATGAGGCATAAACATTTTAAAA